GCACTACAATGGAATGTCAACCAAAGATTCATAAGTCCAGTTTTGTTTTACATGATTTTATGTATTGAAGATAAAGTTGACACAAAATCTTTTTAATTTTGTTCTTTTTAAAAATTTAGGGACAGACTGAATGCTCTTAAATAAAGACATCAAGTAGTGCAGTGCTGCAATGCATTTCATTGTAATTGCTTGACGTATATATTGTCTACTTTTAAAAAACATATTTGGTCTATCTTTATTAAGTTAGGCCTAAACATAAGAATAAATAGGAATTTTCCTGTCTGACTGACGAATGAACATCTTGAGACTCATTCAAACAAATTAAGCGCCCATTGTAGAACAATCAAGAGCGCTTTCAGTGCTAGGCCTACATGCTTGGCCATTTAGCAGTATTTGAATAGTGAGAGAAACTCACACTGCATGTAAGGGCAAACTTAACATGTCATTGAGTGAGCGACTCTCTAGTCTTATATAGTATACCAACTTGTTATCCGTTAATATTGCCTAAACATTTGCATAATCGTCTTGTCTACGTTGTTCAAAGGGGCATAATTTGATTATCGAACTTTGTAAGAAACTGACTTATGCAAATTTTGCAACATACTTTTAGCCGCCTGTGGAAATTGTATATAAAGGGTGACTTTGGAGGGTGGATGGTGGGGAATGTCTTTAAAGGGCATTAACTAGTTGTGCTTGCTAAGATACAAGTATAACTGCACCATACTGCACTCTGCTGCAATCAGTGCAACACATAGTAGTGCCTAGCAAATCATCCAATCAAAATAAAGTTAGTCACTTTGTTGTAATTAAATTGAAAATATGATTAAAAGCTTTTTTTTTCTTCATTTAGTGTTTTGAAAAAAAGAATGTATAAAAAAGAAACAGACTGCATGAACTATTTTATTCACATTTTAATACTAATATATGACTGTTCTCTTTCATATAAATCTTAATTAACAATCCTTTAATTATATCAAAAACATTATGTTGAAGGACTTTTCGACAAAGTTACGCATTGATAACATTTTATCAAAGGATAAGTTTGAGTATGCGTAAAACATCCTGAAGAAATTATCAATCTTCCAATGGGAGGAAATAAAGAAAGAAAGAATGAATGAATTAATGAATGAAAACAATGTTTAAAAAAGAAACAGACTTCATGAACTATTTAATTCACATTTTAATGCTAATATATGACTGGTCTCTTTCATATAAATCTCAATTAATAATCCAGTAATCATATTGAAAGCATTATGTCGAAGGACTTTTTCGACAAAGTTACGCATTGATAATATTTTATCTCAGGACAAGTTTGAGTATGCATAAAACATCCTGAAGAAATGATCAATCCTCTTTGACTGATTAGTGGATTTTGTGTGTGTGTGTGTGTGTGTGAGGGTGTGTGTGTGTGTGTGAGGGTGTATGTGTGTGTGTGTGTGTGAGAAAATAAATATATCTTATCTTTAAAAGAATTTGAATACACTTTATTGGAATGCATCTACAGTGTACACTTTAAATTTCATATAGATCTCAATTAACAATCCAAAAATTGTATTGGAAGACTTCATGAACTGTTTTATTCACATTTTACTAATATAACATGGTTCTCTTTCATATAAATCTCAACAATCCAAAAATTATGTCAAAGGACTTTTTCGACAAAGTTACACATTGATAATATTTTATCGAAGGACTAGTTTGGGTTCTCTTTTATATAAGTCTCAATTAACAATCCAAAAATTATATTGCAAGACTCCATGAACTATTTTATTCACAATTTACTAATATATGACGGTTGTCTTTCATATAAATCTCAATTAACAATCCAACAATTATGTTGAAGGACTTTTTGACAAAGTTACGCATTGATAATATTTTATCGAAGGACTAGTTTGGGTATGCGTAAAACATCCTGAAGAAATGATCAATCCTCTTTTGACTGATCAGAGTTTTTTTTTTATTTGTGAGAGAATATATATATATATTTTCTTCATAAGAATTTGACTACACTTTATTGCAATGCATTTCCACTTTAAACTTTATTATTTTTTTTATTTTATGTTTTGAAATAACAGTTGGATGGATTTTATTTCATTCAAATCAAATCAATTAAAATTCTGGATGGATTCTATTTTTAAAAAGTTAAAAAAAAAAAAAACAGACTGGATAAGATGTATTTATTTTTTAAATTTATATATGACTGCATGTCCTCTTTCATACAAATCTCAGTTAACAGTCTCCAGCACCTAATTAGGTTGGGGGACTCTTTCGACAAAGTTCTATAAGTATTGATAATTTTTCATCCAACGACTAATTTGGATAAGTGAAAAATATTCTGAAGAAATCAACACTCCTCTTTGACTGATGAGTAATTTTATTTTTATTTGCAAGCAATTTATTAATGCTTCTTATCTTCATAGAATTAAACTATACTTATGTTGCACTGCACTACAATGGAATGTCAATCAAAGATTCATAAGTCCAATTTTGTTTTACATGATTTTATGTATTGAAGATAAAGTTGACACAAAATCTTTTTAATTTTGTTCTTTTTAAAAATTTAGGGACAGACTGGATGCTCTTAAATAAAGACATCAAGTAGTGCAGTGCTGCAATGCATCTCATTGTAATTGCTTGACGTATATATTGTCTACTTTTAAAAAACATATTTGGTCTATCTTTATTAAGTTAGGCCTAAACATAAGAATAAATAGGAATTTTCCTGTCTGACTGACGAATGAACATCTTGAGACTCATTCAAACAAATTAAGCGCCCATTGTCGAACAATCAAGAGCGCTTTCAGTGCTAGGCCTACATGCTTGGCCATTTAGCAGTATTTGAATAGTGAGAGAAACTCAAACTGCATGTAAGAGCAAACTTATCCTGTCATTGAGTGAGCGACTCTCTAGTCTTATATAGTATACCAACTTGTTATCCGTTAATATTGCCTAAACATTTGCATAATCGTCTTGTCTACGTTGTTCAAAGGGGCATAATTTGATTATCGAACTTTGTAAGAAACTGACTTATGCAAATTTTGCAACATACTTTTAGCCGCCTGTGGAAATTGTATATAAAGGGTGACTTTGGAGGGTGGATGGTGGGGAATGTCTATAAAGGGCATTAACTAGTTGTGCTTGCTAAGATACAAGTATAACTGCACCATACTGCACTCTGCTGCAATCAGTGCAACACATAGTAGTGCCTAGCAAATCATCCAATCAAAATAAACTTAATTAGTCACTTTGTTGTAATTAAATTGAAAATATGATTAAAAGCTTTTTTTTTCTTCATTTAGTGTTTTGAAAAAAAGAATGTATAAAAAAGAAACAGACTGCATGAACTATTTTATTCACATTTTAATACTATGATCAATCGTCTAGTGAAGAGGCATCCCTTAACATCATAATTAGTGCACTTGGATTATGTTAAGCGTGAATGCTGTCCACTATCTCCATATAATTCAAGTAAAATACTCATGAGCAAAGAAACAGATTTACAGAGAAATAATGAATTTTTACAATATATGCAACAGCAAACCCCCCCCCCCCCGCACCTGAACTCCTGAACCTGATTCTAGAAGTACTTTTGATCATCAGAACCATGCATTTCGTTTATCTGCTAAATAATTAGGAGCAGGGAAGATCAAAACCCCTGACCCAGTGACCATAAAATTCACAATTTTGGATGAGGCACCTTTGCTTATTATTAAGCCTTAATAATTTCTACAAGCAGTTTTTGACTAACCAGATAGAATTGCGACCCGATTTTTAATATACAGTTGAGGCGCATTATTACAAACACTAATATCTGATATACCATGGATATCTCTAAGTAAGCTGGATGTATATTATATTTTACATGAGTGAATATGTAAAATTACCCAGACCAAAAATTTCCTTTAAAGTCTTTTTTCGAGCTTTTGGATAGTAAGATATTGAAGAAGAATTTAGATTTGTTCCCTTAACTTTGTTCAAACCATCCTTGATAGTTGAAGCGGAACCGTGAATTACTTTTGATTTCGTTCTTTTACAGGATTTTAAGTAAAACACATTTTTCATATTTGATTTTTTTTAAACAAGCCACCCCTCTCTCCTCATTTTTAAACAAGAAAGCTGCTAAAAGTTAGCTAGAGAATAGAAGTTGAATGGTTGAATTAAACTGTTTTCATCAAAGCTAGAAAAAGCTAACATCAAGATTGCATGGCCTTTATCTAATTCATGTCAATAAAGAAATAAAATAAAACTGAAGAAAAAAAGCGAATTGTCTAAGAATGTAGGATATTTTTTTATGAAAATGTTGAATTTATATTTTTATATTTTACTATTTAAAAAAAAATACCACAAATAATCGAGAAACTTGTACTTTCCTTTATGTATTTTAACCTTAGTATTTCAAATTTAAACATAAACTTAGATCCTCAGATTTATTTATGTGTTCCCATTGTGTTTAGATAATGCGGTTGACTTTGTATTCATATACTCATTTGTGAGATAGAAAAATGTGACTAAGTAGACCAGTATGAAAGATTAGTACATGTACATGTATCTTACTCCTAGATTGAAAAGCTTATTATATTTTGTGGGTAAATATTTTTCTCCTGTATTTCCTGCTCCACCGAAAAAAAAATGAAAATCATTTAGAAATTCTCTGCAAAATTTACCAGTTACTGTATCTTATATTTATGCCCTTGACATGTTCTAAATTTTCAATTTACTCCAACCTGTTAAATTTTAAACACCTCGCTAAGTAGGAGATGCAGCGTGTAAAAAATGAAGGTTTAATAGAGTATAAGATAGGTACACAATCTTGATCCAAGATGAAATAAATTTTTAAAGTAGAGATCATTTTAACAGTCTTTTGTGATAATTTTATGACATTTTAATGAATTCTAAAACTACTAACTTTCTGTTGTTTCACAACATCTTTTAAAATCATAAAACGAAGTATTTTTCATTGTAAAATAATTATTCATCGGTCCACTTTCAATTTCCAAAATCTACCATACTTCTTTAATAATGGTGGCATTAGAAATGACATCAAAATTGCTAATGTAAATCGTAGGTCTGAGATTCCAAATGTTGTTCTTGTACACTTCTAGGCGGGTGAAGATATCTGGTTTGTACTGAAGCTGACATTTGATTCCCAGGCTTCTTATAGTTCTTTCACTTTCATATACTTGGTCTTCGTCGCAAAAATTGTCATTTTTGATGCACACTACATGTACATTTGCATAAGGGCACTCTCTACCCAGTGTAGAAGCACTGATTTTGGCCTTCCTAGCCAGAGTATTCCCATTTACAATACCTTTGGCAACTAAGGACCACAAGTAATCTCCCTTTCCTCCAGTTGACACGAAGAACATCCATTTACCAGCAGTAACTCTAAAATTGTTTGCTAATTCAAAAATTTTGTCTTTACTTATATCTCTTGCCGAAGCTTTCAGGTTTTCCCATGCCTCTTTTAATCCTAAAACGTCCATTTCATCCGAGTCATTTTCATATTTTGATTTTTCTGAACGGACGACACGAATCCAACCAAATCCATCATCTCTAAAATATTTTGAAAAGTATATGGTAGAAAGACTCGTATTCAAGATTAAATGACATCATCAAATAAAATAACCTATGTATCCTATAAACATTCTAAGATAGAAATATAAATATTTTTAAAAGCTTTATATAAATGTCAACTGTGGATTTGAAAAAAAAAGTATGACAGTAGTACTTTCATCATGTACCTTGCTATGGGCAATGTATAAAATAGGGATGGGATGATACGACTTTCTTCTATATAGATATGTTTCATGATATTTGAGCCATGATACGATATGTATTTCAATAGTTATATTGGTTATATAATCTTTTTTGCATTGAAATGAACAAAACATACCTTATTATTTCTTTAAGAAATGAATTTAATTTTTGAAGATTCATGAGGTTATGAACTAAGACGCTTCACGCCCGCATATTCCATGAAGGGTGTTAGTGCTTCATGATAAATATGCCGGTGTGAAACGTTCATTTCTTATATTTACAATATTTTTCTGATGATTTGCCATAAAATTTGTGCAATTCAACTGTTATTCAAAGCAAAATAGTTTAAACTGTAGTTTTGACGTCAAGTGTGGCATTATGATGTAACAATGGAGATATTCATGCTCAACGATGGTAGTTCATGAGAAAATGAATAATCTTCATATTTGCAAAGAATCTTAAGGTAGGATTCTTTTCATATTTCTAATATTTAAAAATTTATGAAATTTCACAATATCACTAAGTGATAGTATCAGTGAGATTCAATTTGAACGTTTTATATCAGAGGCAAGGTCAGGTCAAGGTCATTATTTTTTCCTTGACATCATGAATAAAAAAATACTGTTGCCAATCATGTGATGCTTACTTCTATTTCAAAAGTTTAAAGATTGTTCTTTTTGCATAAAAAAATTTTACTATATCGGGTCTATAGCATGATATTACCAAATTTACATAAATAATTTAACTAAACTGAATATTGACTAATCCGAATTTTCTCTGTGTTTTTTAATTTTTTCGGATATATTAGTTATTTTCATATGCTTCCTATATTTAACTTTTTCTTATTTTCACATATAATAAAGTAGTCTCATAAATGTACAAAATGATACAAAAACAAAAAGTTTTGATCGTTTACTAAGAGAGAAATAATACTTTTTATGGATTTTTGGATCAAATCTGCACTTTGATAGGAGGCGTTTGAAAGCTAACAAAGTTCTAGTTTGTTTGAAAAATCATATTTATTTGATATATTTTGAAAGTTTAGTCCCTCATTATTAATTTACCATACTTTTGAAAATTTCTCTAAGTCTTCGATTGTGTTAAAATTATAACTAAATTCATTGTTCTATTATAATTTTGAGAGACAGAAAAGAAGATTTTTTCATACGCCACCATTCTGCCAAAAATATAGTCCCTGCCAGTTTTCAAACGCAGTTTACCATTTCTATTTAAAGTTGTACAATTGTGATGAGGAAAGAAAAATATGGTCTTTTAAATCCCTTACATCTCAATATATAAGATAGCTGCAGAACTGTAGCTCTCTGCTTGAGAAAATTTATTATGAACCAAAGTATTTAAACAATTAATACTGGTCAAATCATACTTTGAATGAAGGGCATTCAGGGGGCGAAGCCCCCTGAAGCTTTGGGGGGGTGTATTTAAAAGAGTAAAACCAGACACAATTGTGTAGGAATTGGTTACTTATATGCCAAAGTATGACATAATGAATACTAGTCATATCAGACTTTGAATGAAAAGGGCCTAGGGACCCGGCAAAGCCCCCTTGAAGCTCTTGGGTTTTTGTGTATTTTAGGGTGAAAAACTAGGCATAAAAATATTGGTATTGAACCAAAGTATTGCATTATTATTCGTATCATACTTTGAAATATTAGGGAGGGGTCGTACACATGTACGTCTCCCTTAAATCCACCAATGTATATTTTGTATTAATTTATCGGGGAGGTATACTAGTAATTCTTTGACAAGAAAATTCGTCTTTTGGCTTGTATTTAAAGTGATTCATCACACCTACTAAGTACACATTGTCAGGTTGATAAACTGACTACAAGTATCCAGTCTGGTAATCTGATTTTAAACACTATTTGTCCCCCGCTTGAAAAGTGGGGGATATTAATTTGGGTTTGTCCGTCCGTCCGTCCGTCTGTCCGTCCGTCTTTCTGTCTGTCTGTAACGCTTTCGTTTCCACACGATATCTCGAGAACCCTTTGAGCTTTTGCAATGAAATTTAGCATAGCAACTCCCTATGGACTAAAGAAGACCCCTATTGATTTTGAGGTCAAAAGGTCAAAGGTCAAGGTCATAAATAAGCAAATTCTGTCTGTTAAAACACTTTCGTTTCCACACGATATCTCTAGAACCATTTGAGCTATTGCAATGAAATTTTACATAACAACTCCCTGTGGCCTAAAGAAGACCCCTATTGATTTTGAGGTCAAAAGGTCAAAGTTCAAGTCGTAAATTTATACATTCTCTCTGTGTGTAACACTATCATTTCCGGGCGATATTTCAAGAAGATTTTGAGCTGATGCAATGTAATTTTATACCAAAACTCCCTAGGACGTCTCTCGCCCCTCTCAAAGTGCCTCGCCCCGTTTGTTTTATTAGTATTAATTCATAGTATTACATGTCGCTATTTTTAGCGCAGGGGCATGAGGAGAGTTATTGCGTATAAAACAGGTTTTCGGCGGACTTTATGTTCTTATTACAACTATTAGAACTGTTTAATAAAGGCTAAATAAATCAAACACCATGGATTGTGTAAAATTTTGAGAATACCGAACATGAAAACACGAATATATACATGTATGTGACTTCAGTTCTGCATATACTTCTTTCCGGGGAAAGCGACTTCGTGGTCTAGTGGTTATGTCTCTCGCTTCCAATGTGAGAAGTCCCGGGATCGAATCTCGGTCAGACCGTTATTTTTTTCTTTTTTTTTTTTAAATACTTTTTTTTTTTAAATAAATGATAGTATTCAGCATGTGAAATGAAAAATTTATGAGGTTATAAAATCATCATTACAGTGTGATAAATATTCCATATGAAAAAATCTTCTATACACATAATAAAGAATAAGCAATCAAATCTTTATATGCATATTGACATACATGTATTTTATTTCCTTCAGTATACATGTATACATTTAATAATTCTACAAATTCAGTCAGGGGGAGCCGACTTTTTCCCTAAGCGGGGGACACGAATTCTCTGAATTAGCTTGTTGGTTCTAAAATGGCGAGCGAAGCGAGCCAAAAAAAATTTTTGAGATTAAATTACACGTAAATAAAAATGTATTTTTCACAATATTTAAATATCATAAGTCAAGGTCAGATTATTTATTTTCTTTGTAGTGGAGGACAGATTATTTATTTTCAACATTTTCAGGGACAGATTATTTATTTCCAAAATCTGCCAGCCCCCCCCCCCCCCCCCCCAGAATCAAATGGTCGTCCCCTTAGAGGTAAGTAAATTATCAGGAATTGAAGTTTAATGTATGACTAATTATTTAGTACAATTTAAAATTAATTTCAAATCTGTTGAAAATATAAAATACAAGAAAAAATAACTGTAGTGAGCGACGAAAAATCGTCGGCGTAAATCGAAGGTTTTTGCAACGCTTGGACATGTAGCTCTCTGCTTTATCTGTCCGAATTTTCTCAAGCAGAGAGCTACAGTTCTGCAGCTATATATATAAGACACATAAGCAAATATACTTTGAATGTCTCATCTAGTCAGAAACCAGAGAAGAATCCTACCTTAAGGAAAATTATTTGGAAATTTAAATATTTAAAGTTGAATATCTGTTATAAACCTAAATTATTTTACACAAGTGGTAAAATTATAATGTATATCAAATCTAGCATATTTATTTTGTAAATTAAACAAAATATTAATGTTAAGGGGGATGTACGGCCACCTTTAGTGCAGTGAGAACGAAATGTAAACATTTCATCTAATGGCTAAAATACATTATATTTTGATCAAATTTTAAGTCTTTATGATAAAGATACAATAAATATGCATAACTGAATGCATGTTGTGCATATATAATCTATACTTTTGCAGAAAAATGCTTTTGATATGCTCCTTAGAACTGCGCAGCTACAGAATTCAGCAAAGCCTTAAAAAATCCAAAAAAAATACGCAAACTGTGCATTAATTTTCTCTCTACAACCATTTGTTGAGAAAATGTCTAAATTTTGCACTTTTAAATGATAATTTCAAGTTCAAAACAATGTATCGTTGTTTTCAAAAAGAGTGTAAAGAACCATGAAAGTAGTTCATGGATAGCAGCACGTGGTCTATTTTTAGTACAGAATTTTGTTTTCCAGACCTCTTCTTAATATGGAGGGACATAACAATCTTTAAATGTAGAAGAGAATTACAGTTGCAAAATATTTCAAATAATATGAACACTTTTAAAAGAGGAAATGTGTTATAGTGTTTCTTTAAGTTATTTATTATTTAGTATTATTATTGTACAGTTGTAAAATAGTGTACGTATTGATAAAAAAAATCTTAAACTCTTTGATTCCAGGTAAGGAAAAATGAGCACCATCAAAGTTAAAAATTAAGAGTTTGTAAGTTTGCCACAGATAACTTATAATATCTATCAAAAGTTTAATTATTACCATTGAAACACAAAGAAATTAAACACATAAAATCGATATGAATGACCGTGTTTTAGTACCTACTAGTACGAGGGGTGATCAAAAAGTTCGCGAACTATCTCGATACATGTGTATCTATAAAAAAAATTCAGATTAGAAACAAATTTGGTGCAGACATAGCCAAACACAAGTTCTGTAAATAGCATATGCTGAATAAAGTTTTGCTCACAATGTGAAAATGACGTCATTATGCAGCTACTTGTCACGAAAAATGGTTGTCTCAGTGGAACTCGTTCAACAAACGACTAAAATATTTATGGTATATCTTAAAAATGCCTTTGAAGTAGCGTATAAGAATTTGTTCACAATATTTTAAGACAAATG